CTCATTAAGCTTCTCTCGTTTGATCAACCAAGATGTTTCACTGTCATTTATATCTCAAGGGATTTTTCGGTCAAATAGYTGTACTCCAAGAATACTAGGCGTCATTTTTTTTCTGGTTCGGATTTGCTCTATTCTGCTTCTGCTGCCAAGATAACTGAAGCCATYTATTCCTTTTCTTCTCAYTTTCTTTCTTTCTCTTTACTATGATGTTAAAAAATTTGATTTTTAAAAATGATATTAGAGGCCATCGCTGCGTTCAGTGACGCATATTTTGGTCCTGGGCGAGGWAGAATATGGCTGGATGATGTACACTGTCTGGGACACGAGGCCGATATCAGCCAATGCGCTCATCATGGCTGGGGGTCCAATAACTGTAGACATAGTGAAGATGCTGGTGTYAAGTGCCGACCAGTAAATACTCCAAAACCTGGTAAATATTTAGAAGTATTTCTTTTTACCGTAAGTTGTGTACAATGAAATATATTAAGGACGTTCTTGCTTGGTACCGCAAACTGTAGTTCAAAATAAGACGTCTTAATTTTCGACAAACCTTTGACATTTAGCAAGGCGCCATAACGAAGTTGTTGCTGGAAGAGCCGCCATATTGAATTTCTTTGAGTGTTTCTCCGTGTTTGCGGGCGTGTTTCTCAGCCTGATCCTTAGCGCTTAGCGATAAACCTGATGCTAAAGGTCTCTCATGGGAGCCACAAAAATCCAGTCGAGAAACAGAGATCGATCATACGCAGCCATACTGATATAACTACCGAATTAGAGTTATTACTTTGATTCTAATTTCCAATGTCCTTAGCCTTGCCTGTCCGATTGGTCAACGGTCGAAACCAGCGCGAGGGTCGAGTTGAAGTCTTCCACGYTGGTCAATGGGGTACCATCTGTGATGATCTGTGGGACAAAGCAGACGCTGATGTCGTTTGTCGTATGCTCGGATACCCCGAGGCTATTGTAGCTACGCACCGCGCAACGTTTGGACAAGGAACTGRGAGGATTTGGATGGATAATGTGCAATGTCAGGGAAATGAATGGAGTTTAGAGGAATGTACGCGACTGAACTGGGGTAACAATAACTGTCAGCACTCAGAGGATGCCGGGGTTATATGTCGACCTGTACCATACGCGACAACAATACCACCGATTGTAACCACTTCTTCTGGTAAGTATCCATCCATCAATCCATCGATCCCTCCCTCCCTCCCTCCCTCACTCCCTCCCTCCCTCCATCCATCCATCCAGTGAGAGTAATTCAATCAGTCTATCAATCACACCGTCATAAATACCTTTTCATAATACCTTCCTTCCATACCTTTCTTTGCCAGCTCCCGTACAAGGCTTCGCCATTGTCTGTCTCCCGCATTCAATGCACATCAGAATCTCCAGAAAGCAGCTCGCCAAAATGACGTCACTAAAACTGAACCCAGGGCTACTCCACTTGAACGACCSTTCGTGTGGTGCTTCTAAAGTCAGCGATACGCATGTCACATTCAGCACACCGCTGGACGCCTGTGGCACTGTACGCAGACGAGATGGCGACTCATTAACATTTACAAACAAAGTTTACAGCCAGTTTTTACCAGAATCTTTCAAAAGGGTGTTCCGACCTCCGCCTCTAACGTTTCCTTTCAAATGCTCTTATTCAAGGATCACACCACGTGACCATATATACGCACCTCCAAATGCGCATGCGTATAAACACATCGAACAGTGGTGAAGTCTTGATTCGTAATTAATGTAGATTTATGGCGATTTATTTATGTAGATTTTTTGATAATTTTAAAACAATTATATACTCTTATACTAAATTTTTTAATATCATTATGCCAAAATTAAAGAATTAGAGTGCAAACGATTAATCCGTGAAATACTAATTAGTAAATAGTACAAAATAGTGCTAGTTAAACAATAGAAAACAATGGAATTTGCATGAAATTGTGCTATTTAGTATTACYAAAGTTTCACGGTTATATTGTTTGCACTCTACTATAAATTGCTAAGTTTTCTCATTGAATAAATCAAGTAGATGTAGAAATAAAAGAACGTACAAGTTTGCATTTTCAAACATGCTAAAACGATTTTTAAAACGCTAGTGTATTTTTTGTTACAAGTTTTTGCTTCAACATTCCCCCTGACGTTTTTCCGATATAGTTTCTTTGCATACAACTGATTGTCGAAGCCCAAAGTTTTCGGCTTGATCAGTTTGTTTTCATTTTTCTGCAGTAGTAAATCTAGTTTACACGAAATCAATGATCAATGTCGACAATACATGATAAATCGACAATTTTTTCCCTGAATTGTTTTGCTCAAAATATGGGGGAAAACAATTAGCTACAATTAAAAATGGATTAACGCGCTTGATGTCCTTGAAACAACTCTGCTTTATATCGTATAGTTAATAATTCTCATTGTTTATCGCTTCGCTACACAAGCGTGAAATTATGAATCAAAAATGGCGGTCATTCCTAGACAGGTATTTATACAGTTCGAGTTTCGCGCTTATTCGTAGAAGACGGCGAAGAGCGAGGGCTGACAAAATGGCTGGAGCCGTGTTCACTTATGCAGTAGTTTTACTCCTAGCTGGAGTAGTAAAAGGAATGCCTTCAGTAAATCTTGAAGGTGAGATAACTRCTTCTTTGATTTGTTTTTGTTTGTTTAATGCAGGTTATATAAAGCTTAGTYTTCAGTTTAAAATTAGATTTACAATGTTATTGCAAATACTTTTATTTTTTGTGGTAATCACTTAAAATGATTGCTACAAAAAATAATAATTTGATATTCCGCTACGTTCTAAGCCTTAGAAAGAGCTTTTGCTTCTTCTTGAAATCTTTTTTTTTTTTTTTTGGTTTTCAGCGCTTGATTAACTATTATTAGTACAACTCGTGGGTTTCTCGCGCCGCGGCTTAGTAGCTCAAGAATATGTTGAAAATACACACACAATGAAGAATAATTTTAGGATTTTTGGACTGTCATGAGTGGATTCCTAAACATAAATATAAAATATTATATTCAAACAATGGCACTGCATGGAGCTTTTTTTTTCCGGCAAAAAAGTGTTAGCGTGACCGCCTACCGGAAACTTTATACACATTTTATTAGAAAAATAAGTTACGAAATTACAGCCGGAAACTGAGGAGAATTTCCATAAAAAAGTTTCCTCAGAGCTTTCGTTATCCCATACTTTTATGAATTTACAGAAATTAGTTGAGTCTCTTTTGTTTTTTTCAYGTTCAAGATGGAAATAATATCATTATTGTTAATTTTCTAGCTAATTTGCATTTGAGCGCACATTTGATTAATCTGAGTTTTGGCGGGAAAATGTATCGAAAACGCAAAGCAAACGTAGCTCCTTGAAGCGAAGATGTTTTATCTCAAAATAGAGGCTTTAGTATATCTCTTACGCGAAAAATCAATATTAAGATATGAACCAGTTACTTCTTTGCGAGTGTTTATCTAAATTTCACTTGAATTTTGCTTAGTTTTGGCGGGAATGTTCACCAACTGGAACGACCTTTCCGATTTGAAAACAATGTCAAAAACCATATCTTACTCGTTTAGCTTTAAGTTAATTATTATTATAAATTTACTTCATAGAGCGGTATTCCTATGAGTGGGAAACGATACGGCAGATTYGTATCTAGATCTTACCGTAGTCGTAACTACGTGACGCTTTTTGGTTGGATGAAATACTGCGAGACAATGGGGAGTTATTTCAATGTTAAAGCATGTCGTACCGTGTACGGGCTGTAAGTCARCACCGCAAGTTTGCCACTCATACGATAACCATTCTTATGAGAGGCCATTTTAATTTTACGGCATGGCGTACCCTGTACGTGCTGTAAATCATATTTCCCGCTCATGAAAAACCGTTCTATTTTGCTGTGATTGTTTAATAAGTTAAGGAAGATTAATCTTCAGATACAAATATTTTTTCCTCTCACAGAGTTGGCACTTGTCAATGAATGCACCGAATACAAAGAACTATCTTCACCCGACCGGTCGGTCGACTACACCAACGACGCGATCGATAAGTGCGACGCTGAGTTAGCTCCAGGATGGTATCGATTTACCAAATCTGCTGRATCCCACATGGTGACACAGTGTGTCTCACATCACCACTGCAGTGCGCTATATCCAGGATGGCTGAATGGTACGCACCCTGAGTTATATGAAGGAGTAGTTGGACGAACAGTGTGCTTTCAAAGCGACGAAAGCTGTTGCTATGGTTCTATGAAGGTCTTGGTTCGAAATTGTGGTGATTTTTTTGTGTATCTGCTGTTTGGAGTTCCTTGTCCTTTTCGGTACTGTGGGAGTCACACACCTCGGGAAACGGCTCTACCGCCTCCATTGAAACCCATACAAAGTGCGCAATCGACAGAAGCACCGACAGAAGCGCCAACAGAACCAACGACAGAACCGCCTGCATTAACGACCACACCGAGTGCACAGTCGACAGAACCACCTCCATTTCCATCTCCAAATACTAACAGATCGTTACCGAGTACGCGTCCAACAACGTTACCAATGTTTCCATCAGCTTTCAAGTCACATCGCATTTCAGGTGATTATAAAAAATGGTTTTGAGGTCAATATAAAACAAATTGCACAATGTACTATGAATGCATCGTTTGTTTAATTACTTGAGGCTGCGTGCGCGTATGAACTTGACGTCGTACACAATCAAGGGTAATAAAGCTGTATTCAACTTGCTTCTTACCTCTGGGGTCTCAGGTTTGATTCCTGGACTCAATATCATCACATGTCAAAGAGTTGTTAGATCTCTCCTTTGATTCGAGCGATTTTTTCTGGGTTGTCCTAAATTTCCTAAGTAAACAACAATTTATGATCCTCAAATGACTACAAATGTAGATTGGTAGTACGGTCGCTTATGTAACCRAAGAGCTTCCAGCTCTCGAATTTTCGTTTCTAATTTTGTGATTTGATTTCGTTATTAAAAGATGAGTGCCATGATTACAGTCCGCTGACCGGTAAGAACAGATCTGCAGCCTATTACAATCCGTTCTATGCTACCGGCGATTATGAGCTTCCTACAGGCTGGTATAGATTCATGGGCGAAGCTGGTATGTAGAAGTCAAATTAACTTTATTTTCAATTTTAAGTTTCTCGAGGGGTTGATTTTTGTACTTGTAAATATGATGTCAGCTAGAGCCAAGGTTGTAAAGCAAGGTTGTAAAGCAAGGTTGTAGAGCAAACGAGCAAACGAGCAAACGAGCAAACGAGCAAACGAGCAAACGAGCAAACGAGCAAAATATATACAAAGATATGTGTGAGTCATCAAATTCTAAGGAATTCCTTTGTTTTTTTATTTATTTTTTCCCTAAAATCCTTTGAAATAATCTTCCCAGGAACCATGATGCCAAACAGCTGTGTACCCATATTCCATTGCGGCACACATGCCCCTGGTTGGCTGCTCGGTGGACACCCAAACGACGCCACAAACCACAGCGTTCATCGAACAGTATGCTTCCACTGGAAGGACGAATGTTGCTTCTTTAAAGTAGACATCTTAGTTCGTCGATGTGAGGGGTATTTTGTTTACAAACTACAGCAAAATGAATTTAAGTACCTACGCTACTGTGGTAATGGAATTCCGTAGCGTTGAGGTATAATAATGATGACAACGGCCAAGGCTGTATTGGTTTCACTTGCGCATGCGCGTGACGTAGAAACGAAAAAATAAAGCGTGCGCATCATTGCTATAAAAATATAAAACTCGTTAACACTTGTCACTGCGCTTATTAACAACGCTATTTTTTCATTTGGTGGCCTTAAATGCTATGATTTTATGAGAAGAAAAAGTAACAACTTGCGATTTGTTTCGATTCTGATTGGCTAACATCTTTCTTAGATCATCCTTCTGGAAGTGAGAACCGCTCGTCATTAGTCTAAGCACAAGCCAAGCAAAAGAAACTCTTTCAGATCCTTTCGATTCCGACGTGCTTCCGACGTGCTTCCGACGCGCTTCCGACGCACTTCCGAGTCGGATTATGACTTTCTTTATGGTTTTCACTTTGTCATAAACTGCTTCCGACTCAAATTCTTTCGCTAGTGAAAACCAACCTTATTAAATATCCAATTACTGATTTCTTAATTTGAGAGCGCAAAAGAAAAGGCATTAAAATTCAATTTGCTCTAAATAGGGGGAAAATAGTGCAATGTCTTCTATTTTCTATTGTGTCATCCGTACAAGTACAAGAACTAGTACTAGTTATATAACTCAGTAAAGTTTCACGGATATTGGTTCTGAATCTAGTTTTTTAGAGAATTGGTTATAGATTTAAGAGTTAAAAGTGAAAAAGGTTCGTAATCTTAAGAGTAATTTATGAATGAATAGAAATGGTGGTTAATGAAATGTTGAAATAAAGGTTGACTGAACAGGCTTCTAAAGAGTTCCTTGCTAAGTTACTCCAAATATATATTGTTTCAAATACCTTAAAAATATTTTTTGATTTTGTGCAGTAAATAATATACGTCACGCCTGGTTTTGCAAAACGCGTCTCACATGGGAAGGAGTGATGATGCGTACAAAAGTATCAGTGGCAGAATTGATAAACCGGGTATGCTGGTCATAGCAAGGGGTTAATCATCTATGGTTTAGGGGCCGACTCACCTGTCCCTTAGGCTTCGGCTGAGCTTCCTGATCAGTCTGTAAGTCCTCCGATAGCGGTGTCGGGGTCGAAATCTCCGGCGTAGCCGTAAAGGCTTCGCGCTGCCATACGAAGGTTCAGCACTCGATGTCTGGAGGTATGGTCCTAATTTTATAATCAATCAATTAAAAATCCATAAAAACTGAAACTACTTGAAAACTGTGAAAATTAGGAGAATTGCTCAACGAACCAACTTAAATTCAAAGAATACATGGCAGAGAAGTCGCTCTCAAATTGAAGTCCTTGAGAAACACTAGAATTAGGAACTGAAAGACGATGGAACAAAATGGAAGAATCATTCAGCAAAGACTTAAGAGATAAGTATGATTTTATTGGATTCTATTATTTCATTAGCTTACATTGATATCAATAGAACTAGCACTATGTATAGGAAGGAATAAATACTCAGTGATAACGATATCTAAACTAATCAAATATATATATGAATTGATGTATTAATCAAAATTTTCAATGTGCTGTTAAATGGTTTTCGGCAACCAATAAAGTGTCACTCAAAAAGCCATTTCATTGATTCAAGAATCATTATTGCATCATACAAGTGCCACTCTATAAACCATTGAAGTGTTAATTTGGAAATGGTACATTTGAGCCCGGATACCAGTTAAGTGTTACTAAGTAACCGGAATCACTAGCGGTAAGCCAGGTCAAGTGTCATCAATAAACCAGTTACAAGGGCCTCTGGAAGCCATTTTAGTGTTTAATAGCTACCCGTGAAGAAGAAACCATTCAAGTGTTCCCTTAGTTAGGAAAACCATTGATGTGTCATTGAAAATTTTAATCAATACTCGTTTTTAGAGTTTAAAAACGAAATCACAGAAAACATTTACAAGCTGAAAAAAATTTCTAATTTCTAATATGCAGATATTTACATCGAAATTGCTGGTATTTTACAATTGTTTTCATTAGGATATTCGTAGTTTAAATCGATAATTTGAAACTGTTAAGATAACGGACACTTGTCAAGGGAGACATAAAATATAAAAGGAGGGGTGGGACGGGGGGAATTTAGAATTTCATCAGACGCGTGAAAAACAGAAAGTGTGGTGCAGCCTTTCACAGGTGAATGAAACAAAAATTATTGCCACCATGTTGGATGGTATGACAAGAGAGATGAAGAACAAATCTCCGAGTTATCCAACATGGAGATTATTGCTGGGTTTCAATCAGCTGATACAAGTCTTTGAATCTCATTATCTGCTCCAAAGGGTTGTCAAACACTGAACACCATGTGCTGTTAACCAGAAAGAATTCTATTGAAAATTTGTGATTCAGCTGAAAACATTCTGCACGAGATGGGAATGACATGTGAAATCCAGTGCTGGTGCCAATGCACCCTAAGACTAGTGTACCTCTACCATGATTTTAGACTACTAGATTGCAAGATCTTATATATACATTGAGGATTTTGGATTCATTGGAAGGCAGTACCAGTGCCATTTTACGTTCTTGAATTATACATATACTGAATGGATAAATGTTAGACATAAACCATGGCGAGTTAGTGACGCTCACACTTGACAATGTACCTGAGGGAGAAGAAAGGTATACCATCAGAAAAAAATATCTAAGAGGTCTGGGATGCTTTCTCTTTAAACCAATCCATCTGGATAGAAACTTGTTTCTTAATGGCAACAAAAGAGCAGGAAATTTTGACTTCTGACAAACATGACTAGTGTTCATAAGATGACAAAATTTGTCAACCATTGCACATTAACATCACAATGTCAATTATTATCTATTGTTATYATTATTCATTTATTAATAATTATTATTAGCCCTGCTTCTAGGAATTTTTCTGATACTTACGCCTTGTTTTTGATGACRCCACGACACTTCACCAAGACCGAATATCTTAGCACCCAAGTTGGATTCCACCCATCAACTTTTTYGTCCTCTGTGATGCCAGAAATAATTTGCTGCAAACGATCATCTGTCAAAATCTCTGTTCAAAACAAATTTAAACTAGATATTTAGTCAATCATTTAACAAATTCACAACTTTCATTGTGAAAATTGCTTGGCAATGTTGACTTGATTGACGAAGATGCATGGAATTTGTAACTGTTCTTGATAATTACATGTACCTTGAGGATCAGCATGGGTGAGAAGTTGAATGTCATGCGTCTTGCTGTATGCCACCAGATCCTACAAAATAACATAGAGTTAGACTGGTTAAAGAAAAGGAGATTTGATCTGAGAGCATTATTTTGTTTTCAAAAACAGTATTACTAAAGTGTGTCAAAAATCTCCCCCTCTAGGGTGGGGTGGAGAATATTTCCAACAAGTATATTATATTCAGTGTTCTTACCAGGAATTTCTTTCAGGGGGTCAAAGGGCCYATCAATYYGAAATTTAGGGGCCATTTAGAAAACTGGATGKGCCATTTCCAAAATTTTAAAACAAYGAATAATARTGTTTTTAGCCAGTAACTCTGTTGCAAATCTACAACAATGTAAGGCAGTTTTATTAGTAATGACAACACAATAAAATTTCGCTGGGCAGCCATACTTGAGCCT